AAATGTAGAGGAGATCTTCAGCTTTCGAATAATACTCATATATATCTTTTTCTTGATTTCGGTATCTTGAGAAATTTACAAAATAGTAAAAACGCGCATTCATAATTGGACAACCCAATATTTTAAAAAAAACAGTTTTAGCTGAAGTATTAGGTTGATAGGAATGAAATCCGCGTTTTCATTTGTTCTTGGACATTTCAAATCTAAAACGTACATGTAAAAAAAAAGTCAAAAATTTATAAATGTAGTGGGAGTTTTTAATTTTTTTCCTTTTCTCTTTTCGAATTCACTCATTTTTACTACCGTAAATACTGTAATTGGACCCCACCCCTCTAATAGTACCCCCTCTAATAGTACCCCACCCTAGAGGGGGAGGGAAAAAATAATACCCCACCCCTCCAATAGTACCCCACCCCTCTAATAGTACCCCACCCCCACCTAACGCGTAATTACAAACAACTCTTTTAAAGCGGAAAATTTTCATGTATTTTCAGAAATCGTTTGTATTTTTAATTTTATCCCATAAATTTGTTGTTTTTAAATTTGGGGTGGCTACTTTGCGCCAAATTTTTTGCACAGCTCGCCATAACTTTCTTCTAAGTGGACCAATCTTCATGATTGTAGATCTCAACAAGTGCAACAAAGTAACACCAAAATCATAAAGATTGGCCCACTTAGAAGACTTGAACCACTTAGAAGCCACTTGAACTCGGAGGGGATTGATATCGGTTTGGCTGAATGGATACGGGATCGTCGAGCCAAGAAGAAACGAGTGACACGCCGGATTATCTGGAATGAAGCGGCTAATCGATTCAAAAAAGCTGAAATTTCTTTCAAAAGAACCCATGGCTGGATGGAGTCGTTCTTGAGGCGTCACCAACTTTCTTTGAGGGCACCAACAACAACTTGTCAAAAGCTGCCGAGCAAATTTGAGAAGGCCATCGTCGAGCACATTCTGAGGCTGAACAAGACAATCAAAGAAGGCGATTACAAGCACATTGTTGCTTGCGATGAGACGGCGGTTTGGCTGGATGCTTCGACGAGCAAGTGCATCGAAGTGGTTGGAACCAAAGAAGTTGGTGTTGAGATCAGAGACGGAAATCGAGGACCTCTTGGGGCCGCTCGCATCGACGGGACTTCAAGGACATCGAGGAATTGATGATCAAGAAAATGATGAATTCATTGATTCGGATATTTCTATTGATTTCGCTTGTTCGTTGTTTTTGTTTCGTTTTGCTGTTAAATTTTCAAATGGTTAAAACCAATAAAAACTAAAGAAAAAGTTTGCTTTTGAAAATATTATTTGAATGTATCCTGATTTGGTAACTTGAACCGTGGTGTAAAATAGTGACCCACCCTCTAATAGTGCCCCACCCTCTAATAGTACCCCACCCTAGAGGGGGAGGGAAAAAAATAGTACCCCATGGGGTCCAATTACAGTATTTACGGTAGGTCACTTTAATAAAATCCATTCAGATGACTGAATATCTTTTAATGCTGAAGTTAATACAGTATAAAACGTATGGATATTCAGCCAACAATCTTCCAAAGTTCGAAAAATCGTTTTCTAAAAGGTGTTATTTCAAAAACTACCTTGTCTCTTCTTATCCGATCTATTAAGTTGGAAAGAAAGTTCTCAGAAAAGTTTAACTGGAATTCCTTCAAAATGAATCCACCAATTCAAGAACATTTTGTTCTATTATTTACAAGTTGACCACAAGGAATTACCCTAAAGTCTCGAGTATAAGTTCTGCCTTAATTTACATTCACTTTAATTGCTTTGAATTTCTTTTTGTTGAGTTTTTATTGCGATATAAACTTTTATTATTGTTCTTGGAGCGCGGGATAGTACAGGGTGACAGCCTATCACCATTGCTATTTGTTATGTGCATGGATACATCCAGACGATAGTGTTGAAGAAGACGCTGGAAAGCATCTCTTTCGACCGTCGACGTCGACTTTGGCCAGATGAAGAGGCCAGGGAGGGATCCATAAGACTGAGCACCGGAGAGGAGCAGGGCGGACGCGCCGAGCCACGCCCGGAGCAACAAATAACAGCATAAAATTGCTATAACCCTCAATAAATTTACTTCTATTATTGTTCTTAAAAAGCAAAAAAGCTGCAGCGGGGTTCGAACCCTCGACACACCGCACCGGAGACAGCCGTCAATTTGCATGCGAAAACCAAACAGAACTTATACTCGCGAGGGTACCTTCGAAAGGAACGCATCGATTGGTATACAAATAGTCGTGATTCTAGAAAATCACTTCTAGGGCCGGAATACCCCTTTAAAATGCTATTTTTGAAAAAATAAAAGATTAGGGTCGACCACATGGATTTCTTGTTTTGGAGATTCAAAGGCGATCGCGAATGATAAAATAGTTTTACTTTTAAACATGTTTTTTGTACGTTTTGGACAAAGGGCCATCGTTTAAAATAGTTTTTTTAACGAATTCTAAATTTTTGGTTCATGTGGTCCCCCTTACCTATTTTTGGATCGGTCGATTTTGAGGGTTGAAAATTGACTAAAAAATAGAATGACATTCTAATAGAGCATTTACGATAAGTTTCGAAAGCAAGCAAAAAGAACATATAAAAAAATCCACATGTTTTCAGCTGATGCTGCTGAGCACGTGGAGCCATTTAGCAATCTACATTTTGATGTTCAAAAAAGTGACTCGGTCCAGCCTTTGGCTCACCCTTTTATTGCTTGGGCTGCTCTTTGTCTTTGCATTCAGTTTCTTCTTTCTCCTACAAAATGAGGTACATACTTTTGGCTTCTCCGCGCTAACCATACCGTTACTTGAGGATGTGCTAGAGAATCTATTCATCTCTCTCGTCAAGGTCTCGGTGATGTCAACGGGAGAATTCGATTTCAGCAATTTATTCGTGTAAGTGTAAGTTCTGACGTGTAAGTTTTGATAGATCAAAAAATTCGGAATAAGTTGTTCTTGAAAATTGTTTTGGAAAGTTGTTCTTGGAAAGACAGCCTATTTAGGGCATTGCCGACAGACCAAACGCCTGTCGAAACGCCTCAAATGCTGTTGGTCCGCATAGTTAGCTTTATCGTCTTCGTGCTTTTCATGGTGACAATCACGATTTTGTTCATGAATCTGTACACAGGCGTGGCCGTTGACGACGTTGCCGAAATCAAGGAAGAGGCCACGGTTAACAAGTTGTCAATGCAGGTGTGTTTATTGATGCAAAAGCAATAGATGTTGTCATTCTAGTTGGATTCGATACTCATGCAAGGCATCATATACGAGAAGTTGATGCGAAACGCCAAATACAAGATCATTGTTGACTTTGCAAAAGACAAAAGTTCAACGAAAATTGAGGACAAAAACGCTCAACCAAAACGAATAAATCTATACGTCAGTTTCGCCTTTAAAATATTAGATAAATTGTCTAATTTCAGTCAAATCCAAGTGACGAATGGGAGGAATTGTTGCGGAAACGGGACGAATCGACGAATCGTTCTATGGTAACCGAATTATTAGATTCAAAACTTTTGTTAACATTATAAGATATCCTGTTTTCTAGTTACAAGCATCGAAGTCTATTAAACCATAATCCTTTCTGAAAGTGATACATGCATTTGACTCAACTTTGTTTTAAGGCCTGTAAATTCCAGGAAACAAGAATGACCGAAATGGCTGCTCATTTGTTAGAGATGACAAGAATGCTTAAAGCAATCCAAGCAAGTCAGCAAGCAAGCCCAGCAGTTCAGCAAGCAAGCCAAGCAGGTCAGCAAGGAAGCCAAGCAGGTCAGCAAGCATTCAATCTCTTGGCAAACCTCTTTTTTAGAACGATCATCTTAATAAAGCCGGTTGATGCCTTGGAATTCGTTTTATTATTCCATTTCTACATAATAAACCTAATTTTTAACCATGTTTTCACTCAACTTCTTCTATTTCAAGAGTTTCTTGTACTCGATTCTTTCTGTTTCTAAAACTTAATAATGGTAAACCCGAAGAGGGTTGCAAATTTTAGATTTACGGGCAAACGAGCGCACAGATGGGGCGTTTTGATGTGGCAAGTTTTCAAGAGGCTCTTTTTAAAGATCAGAACAATCAGAAGATCCGAGTTCCACCAGGCTACAAAGTTGAAGTGAGTGAAGTCAGTGAGTCACGTTGTTGACCTGGTTCTCGAGAAGTCCCTAGTCTTAACTGACCAGACTGGGCTTTGTAAAGAATTTCTTCATTTTCTTGGATTTTGTCAGAACTATTTATAATATTTATGATGTTAAACAAGAAGACAAAACGAACTGACTAAGGGAATTCGGTACTGTTCGGTTTTACCTTGAATCCAATCGAGCCAAATAGCTGGTCTATTAATAGTTTACGTTTTAATCAATGTCTGAACAAACCGACAAAAATGTTCTAACAGAAAAGCCCTTTGAAGTTAGCTTTGTGGAGTGAGCTGATTCCCAGGTGCCAACACCCCCTGGTTAACGCCATCCCGAAACTGCTTTCAAATCTAACTTATCATAAGCCATTTTCGAGATATAAACCTTCAAAGTCTCGGTCAGTTTTGCTAAACAGCAAGCTAGACAACTTAAAGCCTTGATGCCCAGATATCAATGTTCTTCAGTGGCCCAGTGAATAGTGTGTTAGCGCGTTGGACCCGAATTTGTCTTCTTTGTCCCTGGTTCGAATTCTTTCCCTGAAATCTGATTGAAGAGATTTTTAGCCACCATGAAAGCCAGCGACTTTTACGTCTGGTTTCTAAAGTGTTGCAAATTTTTATATTTTTTCGCATAGTTAAACCCTGTGAACAATAGAATATTTAAAAATATTCAAATTTGTTAAAAATAATTCTTAAGAATAAAAACGGAAGAGTCTCACTGTGAGACTGGGTAAATGCATGTTTGCCAAGTTTCGAAGCATGTCGCTTTTGTAATGGCGTTAACCAGAAGGTGTTGCCACCTGGGAATCAGATCACTCCACAAAGCTAACTTCAAAGGGTTTCCCTGTAAGCAAATGAGTCTGAAATAATCAACTGCTTTAAATGAATCATTCTTGAATGATCGAACTAAACAAAGTGTTATTTTAAGGGAATGAATACTGTCCAAAAGCTATCGCACGACGATGAAGACCTCATGTAGGTGAAGCAAGACTTGCTAGATCCGGCTCTTCGTTTCATTGTAGATAAAGAAGTTTAGCGAAGCCATTCTCGATAACTCGTTTATCACCAAGAACAAAAGATTCGACGCTCCGATGAAAAGCGGAAATTTCGAACTCGACCTAAAAAAAGTGTACATTAGACGGTTGTTGCATGGTATTTGATGTCAAAATGTGAAAATTTTAGAGTTAAGCTAGGAAATGCTGATGCTGATAAAAGGGAAATGATCAGGAAATGCCGGCAGCTGAACGAGGAGATTGAGAGTGCCCGGTTTCGTGCGCACAACAATGTGAGTAGAGTGTGCTCTTTTCAAATAATCTTCAATAATCAAATAAAGCACTTGATAAAGTTGTCACATTTCAAGCTATTCAGTTAATGATGCTTGAAAATTTTGGAATGAAACATGAAAAGCAGACTTTTTAGAATGCTTTATTTGACAATGATTTGAAAGGACCACGCTCCAAATATGAGTGTTGCGTTCTTCCTGTCGCTACGCTCTCAATAAAATTTGTAGATTGTAGATTTGTAGATTGTAGATCGTAGATTGAGATTGTAGATTGTGACCTACTATGAAGTGTACCCAGAGATCGATGCTGACGGTGTCGTCTCTCATATTTGCCTGGTGTCCGAACGAATGCCATCGACACTGGCTCAGTACCTCGAGTACTAAAAATTAAACAAATTGACACTTCATGATATTTTTAGGGACCTACGTAACAAGAATGAGAGACTCTCGTCTGGAAACATTGCGTGGATACTTGTTCAGATACTTCAAGCACTCTCATATCTTCACACCGAAGGGATCGTGCATGCTGTAATGCTATTCAATAATTTAATTTTTGTAAGAAAAGTCTCTAGAACATCGCTTCATCAAGTTTTGGTATCAATGAAAAAAAGCACTTGATAAAGTTGCTCAGTTATCACGTTTCGGGGTAAGCTAATTTGCGATACTTGCAGCGAAAAAACAAATTCAGCGACGGAAAAAATGAGGTCTCAGTAAAAAGAGATCTGATAGCAACAGCCGAATTAGTCAAGGAGATGCTAAACAACGAAAATCTTTTAGGTAGCTGTTTGCATAGAGCTTCGCATTAACAAAGCACTTTTTAGACGTCAGCCTAAACGACTTGCTCAACAGAATGATCGCAAAGAATGAAAACGTGACCCCACCAAATTACTTCAGTGCAAAAGAATGTCTGGAGCATTTTTCTCTCACAGATGCTAATGTAGAAAAAGATTTTACTCTTTTAAGAGAAAAGCTTCTTTAAGAAAAGATACGATCGAGAATTTTCCTTCGATCAGCCAAAGGACGATAAGGCATGGAGGTCGAAGAATGCGAGAAACAAAGCTATTCTGTGGAGATTGTTAGAAACACCAACTGCCAGAATCAACTTTCACATTGAACCAAATGGAAACCGACAATCGGTAAGTTTTGATTGAATAAATAGTTTGAATCCATTCTATAGATGCCTAATCAAAGAGCTCCAATCGAGAGATTCAAGCCCGAGAACTACATAAATGCTTTCTATAAAAGCAAAGACGAATCACGACAAGACTTCCGAATTCCACAGGGATACTCGCAAGTTTGTTGTCCTTATCTTTTAGCTTAGACTTTTCTTCCAAAGTAATTGAGATTTTCCATCACTCATTACACTTTATTTTAGAATAAAACACTTCCAAATCAAGCTCATCAAATGCACAAATGCTTATCACATCCAATCGAACTCCAAGTGATCACCCACAAAGACTACTACGATACTCTGTAAGAAATTACAGCTTTGAAAATGTTTTAACTTTCTTTAGCTTCGCTTTTCTCTACCTGCCGTGCGTCGACATTGGTGTGAACTTTGTTGGAGAGTATAACAAAGCCAGTCCGGGCTGGAAACGGGTGGCTTGCAAAAGGTTGTTGCTTCTTTTCTTTTCTATTAGATTGGCAACTTGAAAGTTGGTGCACTTTTTCGTATTTTCCATAAAACATATTTAATACGTCAATTGAATTAGACTTCTCTAAATCAAAGTTGTATATTATCTATTAAGTTGAGGAAAAAGTAATGTCGGTTTTGCATTCCCGTTGTTGGCAATCTTCCAGTTCTTTGCTTTTACGATTTTTTCAACAAAACAACTCGTGTTATTGTTAGCTCTACTCTGCTTCAAATAGGCAAATCTCATGATTTTTGGGGAAGAATTCTAACATCTGATGAAACATGGATTCAATATGAGAATGTGAAGCGCAAAAATCAGTGGCTTTCCCTAGACCCCCCGAACAAACTTCAAAATCCGATATTCAACCGATATTCAAAATCAACCCCCACAACCAACTTCAAACCCCGATATTCATCGAAAGAAACTTATGCTTTACTGTTGGTGGAATACAAAAGTTTTGGTGTATTATGAGTTGTTAAATCCGGGAGAAATTGCCACCGCTGATCTTTATTCAAAACAGTTGATGAGAGTTAAGAGGCTTTAAAGAAATTGGGCGTTGACGTCAAAAGTGCTATTTTTGCGTGATAATGCAAAACCTCACACTGCAAAAATCACTCACCAAAAAATTGACGAACTTGATTGGGAACTTCTGGCCCACGCACCTTATAGTTCGGACCTGGCCCCATCAGATTATTTTTTTGTTTCGGTCGTTGAAGAGTTTTCTTATGGGAGAAAAGTTCGAGAATCATGCACAGATCAAAAAAGCAGTCGACACTTATTTTGGCTCGAAAACTTCCCATTTTTTTGAAGATGGGATCAGGAACTTGCGACGAAGTTGGGAACAAGTCATCAATAATAATGGAGAATATCTCATTGATTGATGTACGTTTGTGTATGTTTTTAGCAATAAACAGTTTTGTGACAAAAACCGACATTACTTTTTCCTCAGCCTAATAATTTAATAAATTTGGGTAACTTTTGAGATGAATTTGAGCAAAAATTCAAGTTTTTCGGAAAAATTCTTCGAATGGAACTATAACAAAAGCTATTGATTAGATCTAGCTGAAAATTTGGCTATTTATCTAATTTGCTATGCTCTACCTTTGTTCGGGATAGAATGTGTCTCTATCCCTTGGTTCAGGCAGAATATTTATTAAAGCACCGAAGGGTTTAAATACCGAAAAGTTGAGGGGAAATGTTTTAGAAATGTCTATGTTTTGGCTAGCTTATGGCTGGGGAAATCGTGGGAAGATTTTGGAGAAAAGCATGATTCAGAGGGAACATTGATCGATAGATTTCAAAGAGAAATAAACTTTATCGGAAGAAGCTCCGAACAACCTTCTTTTATTGACACTAAAATGAGTTTATGTAAAAGAAAGTGCTCAAAGCGCTTCATCGAATGTTCATCATTTTTGGCTCTTTTGGCTCTTCAACTTCTTGCCACTAGAAACCTACAAAACCGAAGCTTTTCTAAATCCGTACAAAGCCTGTTTTAGAGAATGAGTGAGCCTTTTTATTGGTAAAAACTGTAGATTCATTGGTGCACTAGGTGTTTCCAAAAAGTGCAATGAATAAGTGTACCAACTTTCAAGTTGCCAATCTAATAGTTCAAGGTTTAACTCGCGATCGGAAAGAAACGTCGAGTTACTTTTTCGCAATAAGGTTAGATGTTGTTAAATTTGTTAGACTGGTAGTGTTAGATGTGTCGCTTTTTTAACACAGAAGACACAGTAAAACCACAAACTTTTAGATATTCGTGTGAAAAGCTGGACAAATCTCTTGATGGGTACATTCGGCTGTGGCGTGAGCTGCAAGTCTGCCAGATGACAAATCATAAAAACGTGCATTCCCTATAGTTGTATAGTGAAACTTTTTTGGCTTCTAGATTGCAAAGTTTTACGAGTTTTTCCCGGAATGGTCTGAGCAAAGCATTTCGCATATCTGGCTAGTATCAGAGAGATCGGATATGACATTGAAGCAGTATTACGAGTTTGATTCCTTGAGCTAAATCATAGAGATTCCTTGAGTTGCAGAGCCGTTAACGGCAAAGGGATCGATGTGGAAAAGTTGAGGATAATACTTGCTCAAATACTCGAGGCGCTCAGCTACCTACACAAGAAAGGGATAATGCATCGGGTTAGTGAAAACATGAAAATAAAGAACGGATTCTCAAACTGATCAGGCTATTCGACCAGAAAACATTGGTGTTCAAGAAAACAACGGTCGACTCGTACTCAAACTCTTTAACTTTGGTCTGTCCAGGTGGGAGATGATTAGTCAAACAAATTTGTTGGGAAAATTTCAGAGAGGTGAGCTTGAAGAGCGATTACTCAAAGAATGTCGACACACCGAATTTTTACAAAACCATTGAGCAACTACGGAATTATGAAAATTATGATTCGAAGATTGATATTTGGTCGACGGCACTGACGATTCTAGATGCTTTCCCTGGACCGAAACTTTTTCAGATAACCGGAGACGAAATCGAAGTAGCAAATAAGGTTCGATTTACTTAGCTTCAAAAACGGAATGCTGAATAAAATAACTGCTAAAGAAAAAAGAAAACCCTTAACAAATTGGGACTTATGTGATACGAATATTATCCGGAATGAAAATACTCTCAACTTCGATTGCAATTTTTTCGGTGTAGCGAACAGCCTCGCATTCGATTTTTGTTTTGTTTTAAAGTTATATATCTTTTCCAATTCCATGTTTTTATAAAAATTATTGAAATTATTATTAAAATTATTAAAATTATTATTTTATAAGTGATTTTTGCCAAAATCAGTATCATTTGGTTATAATAATATATATTTGAAGTCGAACTCGGATAGAGCGCCCCTAAAGACCCCCGGATTCCAATTTTTGTCGTAATCTACTATAAAAAGCAGAAGACACGTCCGTATGTCTGTCTGTCTGTGCGCAAACGCGATGTTCCGTAATTGCGTTCGCTCTATCGGTTAAAAGGCAAAGTATGCAGCTTTTGCGCGCAATATTTTGCTCCGGGGGTCTTCTGAAATCTACCTTTCAGGTCCATTTTTAAAAAAGGGGCGCGGCTTAACATGAGTTACGGTAGTTTTAGTCATTTTAAAGAAAGAAAACTAACAGGAACGGGTTGAGTGTGTTCGAAGAGCGCTCGAGAATCATGGTTTAAGGAATAGCAAGATAATTATTAGCGGAAGGTACTTTACATGGCTCCTTTAAACTATGCACGTTCCGCGAACCCGTCCCGAAGACCCCGAATGGATTCCCCGCCTCCGCGGAAGCGGGAAACACCATGAAGTGAACGTTTTCCGCTGGTTGACTAATAAAAGCGCTCTGGCCCAGGCGGCAGTTTTGTGAAAAGCGGCTGATCGTCAATGTGTTAAAAAGATCTCTAAATTCATTCCAAAATTCATTTAGACAAGGATATACAATAGATTTTTAGGTGAGAAGAAGAGGCGGCGAATGTGCAGTTTTGGACAGAATATTTGAAGTTCTTGGTGTGCAGCCTGATCTATCTAAATTGAAGTCAGACTTTTCACTTGGTAAACTTATAAAGCAGACTTTTAGCCGTGAAGGATCGTTGTCTGCCGACTTGAAAAGAAAAATTACCTTGGTAAATGGAAACGAAGAAGAAGGTTTATTCAACGAGATTTTGGAGATCAGCTAGGCATAGTGGCAAAAAATTCTCAAAAAAAGCTTCTGTGTACCATTGGGTTTTTTGAAAATTTCAAATAAAACAGTATCGCAAAAAGATTTCTCTGAAAATGATTCCCTAATTCTGCTTTTCCAGTGAACTCACTTTGCGATTTAATCACTCAAATGTTGTTGGTGGATCCAAAGAAGCGGCTCTCCGCTGACGTGTGCCTCAAGCATAAGTTTCTTCGACCATCCGTGAGTAATTCTAAACGTTGCTCCCAAAGTTACTCCAACAGAAAATGCTTAAATTTAGAATTCATTCCACTTTAATTAAAGAATTTGATTAGCGTTAGGTGAGCGTTTTATATTGAATATTTAGATGGGCGAGCCCATGGAAATTGATGCTGAAGCTGATCTTCCAACAACGGTTTCGTTGGAGAATTGCACCCTGTTGAAGGATTTGAAAGCCGGCCGCACGAGACTATCTTTTGACATTGATCTGCTCGATGCTGAGATTAAGAGAAAATATTAAACGATTTTGAACAATTTGTTAAACATTTAGGCATAAATCATCAGAAAAACAATCAAAAAAACAATCAAATGAATTCTTAACTTTAGATAAATTATTGAGCTTTTTACTCAAATGGAAAGGAACAAAAAGAATTGAAGGGTTTTCAGAAGGGGTTTCAGTTTTGCGGACGATACAAAACTAGAATCACTAGCTATCTGGCACACTGAACTATACTTACACAATTGTTGCGCCTTGGTTAGCCTTTATCAAAAACTAGTTTTTTAAAAAGATTGATTGACATAAACTCATTTTTATCCGCAATACAACCATTAACAACATTAATAAAATTAGTTAGCAACTGACTGAATTTCAAGATACAAGATACAAGATAACAAACAAACTAAATGAAAAACAAAGTCAAACAACAATCAACTTAAACAAAACCTCTTTTTACTACGCACATAATGCATGTTACTGAAAGCGTCATTCTGAAATTGAAAAGAGCCAAAACAAGAAACGAAAAGATCACTTGTTAGTAAAACTTCTTGCATGGTGGCATCTTGAGTTGAAAAGTAGACTCTTCTTTCGAGAAGCACATCGATTTATCGTACATCCGCTCAGGCACAAGCAATGAGCGTGACCTAAAATTATAATATTTTAGCTGAGGTAAAAACATTTGAATTTGTAAGAAAAAGAAAAAAGAAAGATTAACAAGATTATAAGTGCAAATAAATGTACTTACCTTGGCTCCCAGAGATCGATGCTGCCCCAACAGCAGTTCTCAACGATGTCTCCCCGTCCGGAATTGAATTGATCGAGAAGAATTCAGCTCCACATGGAGCCAGTTGATTCCTAGTGAATGTTTGCCGAAGATGCCCATTTTGTCTCCCGATCGAGTAAAAACCATCAGTTACGGCTAGAATTTCTTTTTACCTTTAGAAATAAATTTAAAAGTACCTGTGACGACTCCCATCAAATTTCGTGGTCCAATCTTGGGTCGATCGACACAAGGAATTGGCATCAAAACATTTTGTCCAACATCAATTGGTGCAAATCTAGAAGTAATCATAATGAAAACATTGAAAACGCAAAAGTACCTTTGTTCACTGGCGTGAAGCATCTTTCGTGCCTGATTCTCTGAGCAGAATGGGCTCCATGTCTTTCCATCATAATCGAATCGTGTAGACAATCGATTTCCGCTTGCTCCTCATCTTTTTGAACACCTAAAGCCAAATAATGTTTAGTAAATATTTTAAGAAGCAAATCAAGCATTGGACCAACAATCCCAAGTTGAAATTCGGCGTCATTATTCCTCTGATTTGCGAATTCAGGAAATTTCTACCGGAATGAAATCTATCGACAAAATTTAAATTTCCAAAAAAACTAAAGTTACCTGATGTTTTTACGATATTGAATCAAGGGCAAAAATCGGGCCCATTCGGTAGTTTTTGTTTCTCTTTGATGAACGCTCAAGATATCCTAAACGACCACAAGTATTTTTATGAGCAGCCAAACTAACCTCGATATCCACGTTTGCTTGTTCTACACTTCCTTGTGATCGCGCGGTTTCCCGTGAACGATCTTGCAACCGGGCCATTGAGCGACGGCTTCTTCCAAGAGTTTATTTGCAAACTCTCTGCCATTGTCTAAAAGCAAAAATAAAAAAAGGTGCTATAGTTTTTATTTTACCCCCCCCCCCCCCTCCCTCCTATAGCCCCATCAAAAAATGCAAAAATGCAATAAATTTCATGAAAAATTCCGATTTATTTTTAAAAATAGCTTACCTGTCTGAAGAATTTGTGGAGGGCCAAAGGTTCCAAAAATCGATACGATGTTTTCGACTACTTCTCTAATTTTTGATTGGAATACACTTCTTAATAGGTAAACAGAACTTAAAAATATTTATAATGCTATTTTTCCTAGTCTGGATTGAACTTTGTGTTGCTAAATGCTAAATTCGTCTAGCAAAATTGCTAGATGGTAAATTGGTCAATGTTAGATGGCTTTTTCAGAGCATTACCTTGGCTAGCATGCTTTCCAACGCTTTCCAAATCAAAAATTTTGCCTCATATTCTGGGTCTTTTGGGTCCAAAAGTTTGGAGTCCAAAGCCCTTCTATTTTTTTCTAATTCTGATATGTTTTAGAATGCCAATACATTCCAATCTATCAGAGGAAATCAAAGAACGAGTCGTTGCGTTATTCAACGTTGCACCCTGTAAATGGAGCCAAGATTTCGGGCTTTAAATCTCTATATAACATTTCATATTTATAAAATAAGTTAGACATTTGCTAGCTGTTCTTATAAAAAGTTATCTCTGAGCTTTTTAGTTCATGGATTTTTCAGAGCCAGGTAAATAAAGTCAGGCAAGAAGCTAGTGGTTTGTCAGCAAGTCTGCTCGAAATTTGGGAGAGCTTTATAAAAATTGATTACGGTAGCTTTAGAAAGTCGTCACATTTTAGAAAACGATTTATTAGCGAGCGGAAGAAAATTCTAGTTTAAAAACAATTTGAATTGCTTAGAAAACTGAAAAAAAGCTTCTGTTTTTGCAGTTCTTGCACGTGCATCTATTATTCTGCTCAAACATCTCTCTTCAAGTCAAAGAAAAGAAAATTGGGGCGATTATTTTTCGGTGAGCTTTTCTCTATCCGCTAATTGTGCAATGTTTTAGATTTTCTACGTTTAAAACAATAATATTGGGTTTTTGCATTGAAAACTGCCGGACTTTGAACTAAAATTTATTCAACATAAAATCATCAATTGATTCCAAATAATTTCCATTATTATTGATGACTTCTGCCTTCTTTTTATAAGCAATTTGCGGATTCCTCTTTCGTAGTAGGATTTTGGTTTGTGTGTGAGACAGTGTGAGACTCCAAATCGAGGACTGGAGATGTCCCAGTTTGAGCATTTGAGCGCTTTCTTCAAAAGAAACCCATTTTGGTGTCAATAGAAAGTTGCAGAGAGAATCAAAAAATGAGGCTTATAGCCAAATTTCCAAAAAGATACACTTAGTAGTTTCGCTTAAAATGCAAGTTTTGTGAAAATTCGTAAATTTGACGTTTCTTGAAAACCAGTTTTTGAATCGTTCTGAAAATTTGGATATAAGCTTGATTTTTGATTCTCTACAACTTTTCCATTGGCTTACCAAAATGAATTTCTTCTGAAAGAAAGTGCTCAAACTGTCACATATGACAATAGCCGGGAGTTTTCAATACACCAACCCAATAGTTCATTTATTCTTCGAAATAACCAATCGACAATGTAAACATTTCAGCTCAAAATTCAGCCAGTCTTTGCTCGAATTTCTCACCACGTCCTTGATGACACTTCGGTTTTCTGAAAGATTAATAACGATTCAAAGACCAAGGTGTACTTTGTGCCGAAATTTATTACCACACCCTCTCTGGCGCACTCATTCATCATTTTCCTCGCGGCACCAAGAGAAAATGACGAATTGAGTGCACCAGAAAATGCAAAAATCCACCAGAAAATTGAGAACACTTCTTTTTTGGCAAGAATTTATAGAAATCATTTATGTTGCAGATTTCCACTTATTGTTAGATAGTACTAGGGTTTTAGTTTTTAAGAAAATATCGAACTATCTATTTTACTCGTTTCTCACCCCATGCTACGTTGAAAAAATGGCATTCCATCCTATCTTAAAGGGAGGGGATTAATCGCACCCCGGTGATCATAAAAAAATCATACATTTTTGTCTGTTTTTGGCAACCATCTGTTTTTATATTTTAATATTTAATATTGCTTTAATATTAATATTTTAGTATAAAAAGAAAAAAAACAAATCCGGTGTGTCGACATTCTTTGTGTAATCGCTCTTCACGCTCACCTCTCTGAAATTTTTCCAACAAATTAGTTTGACTAATCTTCTCCCACCTGGACCGAGCAAAGTTAAAGAGTCTAAGTTCGAGTCCATCGTTGTTTTCTTGAAGACCAATGTTTTCTGGTCGAATAGCCTAATCAGTTTGAGAATCCAATTCGGTATTTTCATGTTTTCACTAACCCGATGCATTATCCCTTTCTTGTGTAGGTAGCTGAGTGCCTCGAGTATTTGAGCAAGTATTATCCTCAACTTTTTCACATCGATCCTTTTGCCGTTAGCAGTTCTGCAACTCAAGGAATCCCTATAATTCAGCTCAAGAAATCAAACTCGTAATACTGCTTCAATGTCATGCCCGATCCCTCTGATACGAGCCAGATATGCGAAATGCTTTCCCCAGACCATTCCGGGTAAAACTCGTAAAACTTTGCAATCTAGAAGCCATAAAAAGTTTCACTACACAACTATAGGGAATGCACGTTTTTATGATTTGTTATCTGACAGACTTGCAGCTCACGCCACAATCGAATGTACCCATCAAGATATCTGTCCAACTTTGCACACGAATATCTAAAAGTTTGTGG